CAATTATTTATGTAACCGCCCTTGTTTAATGAATTTTAAGGATTAAATTTTAAGATAGTTTAACTTGCGTTGTCTCCTATAAATGGAAAAACGAGGGGGAACTAACTTTCAGGCTATTTATCTTATTTTAAAGACTGGGGAATATATATATATATATATATATATATATATATATATATATATATAATGATGGGCTCTCTTTTGGTTTCGACGTATGAGTATCTGAAAGCTTAATTGATACAGTTATGAAATTTTGTGTGATAATCTTAAGTGGCACTTAAGACCCGCTAGGGATTTACAAAGGAGGCCACATATGGAGCAAAAGTGAGGATTGTGAGATGAGATCACTGTTAGATTGGCTGACCTTTTATATCTTGCTCTCACCTCGTGAAGACGATTTAAACAAGCAGATTGAAAACTGCTGAGTCCACGAAAATGAGATGAGATAACTGTTAGATTAGCTGACCTTTTAGATCTTGCTCTCACATCTTGAAGACGATTCAAACAAGCAGATTGAAAACTGCTGAGTCTACTAAAACACGTTGACCTCTATTCTACCCGCTCCAAGGCTAAGCGCTCAATGGTGTTAAGTGGTATATTGACTGCTGACGAGTTGCTTTTCAGCTTGTCTTTGTATCTTAGCCATGGGCGTCCTACATTCCTGTAGCCCTGATCTAACTGGCTGTACATTAGGATCTTGGGTATCCTGTCATCAGACATTCTCAAGACATGACCAGTCCACCGTAACTGAGACTGTATGATAAGTCTCTATTACTCCAATATTAAACCTGTTAAACAGGTCTACGTTAGATGACCTATCTTGAAGGTTAACTCCACAGATTGCACGCAGACAGCTTTTATGGAAAACATCCAGCTGGCAAATATATATATATATATATATATATATATATATATATATATATATATTAGAATAAATCCAAAGGAGCCAGGCAAATCTACCTGAGGATTTATATATATATATATATCAAGTCTTCCCATAAGTTCTGTCCGAATTTTAACTTTTTGTTAAAATGAACGAAATTTAAAGAGTATTTTATAATGTCTAATGGAGCTGAACATTATTTTTATGTTTAGATGCATTTAAACTGATTAAATCTTATTTCAGAGAACAATAAAATTAAATTTTGTTTGATTAAAACCCTGCTAACATGGAAGTACCCAAGAATCATTTTGGGCACGTAATGCTTTATGAGTTCAAGAAAGGAAACTCAGCAGCCAAAGCGGCTAGAAACATTCACTCAGTTTATGGAGAGGAATGTGTGAATGAAAGAACTTGCAGAAGATGGTTTGCAAAATTCAGAGGTGGAGATTTCACCCTTGAAGATGAAGATCGAACCGGACGTCCAGTTGAGTTTGACGAAAAGCTTCTTGAAGCAGCCCTTGAAGAAAATCCTGCTTTATCAGTTGAGGAATTGGCAGTGGTTCTCAGTTCAAACCATACAACTGTTCATCATCATCTTCAACAACTTGGAAAAGTTCCTAAACTTGGAAAATGGGTGCCTCGTGAATTGTCTGAAAACAACCTCAAATCCCGAGTTGACATCTGCTCTTCTCTCTATTCTCGCCAACTTGTTTCACCTTTTTTGGATAGACTTGTGACTGGCGACGAAAAATGGATCTTTTATCGAAATGTCAAGCGTCGTAGACAGTGGCTTGATAAAGGAGAAGGACCCCAGCCACAGCCGAGAAGGGAACTTCATGGGCAAAAGGTTCTTCTTTCAATCTGGTGGGATCGCCAAGGAATAATCCACTTTGAATTCTTATCACCTAATGCAACAATTAATGCTCAAATATACTGTCAGCAATTAGAGCATTTGAACCAAGCTTTGAGGGAAAAAAAACCTGCTCTAGTGAATCGAAAAGGGGTGATGTTTCATCAGGACAAAGCGTGACCCCACACAGCAAGAATCACGTCACAAAAGATCGAAGAACTTGGTTGGGAGAAAATTCCTCATCCACCTTATTCTCCTGATCTTGCTCCTTCAGACTACCATTTGTTTTGTAGCTTATAGAATGATTTGGAAGAAACAGCTTTTGTAACACAGGAAGAGGTTCAAACTGACATTTGTGAGTTCTTCGAATCAAAGCCGAAAGAATTTTACAGTAATGGAATTAGTAAGCTTGTTAATAGATGGAAGGAAGTCATAGATAATCAGGGAAAATACATTGTTGATTGAATCTGTAATTAAATGTAACATTTGATCACTTGTTTTCTTTATTCAAAATTCGGACAAAACTTATGGGATGACCTGATATATATATATATATATATATATATATATATATATATATATATATATATATATATACACTAGAATAAAGCCAGTTTACCCTGAAGATCCGTTTAGATTTATTCTATTTTATCGCTCTTCTTACCGTATTGAGCACTCTACGTTTTAATCTTTCTACTCATTTGGTTTTTTTTTCTTCTTCTTTGAACTAAGGACTTTAAGCATTTGGCGATTTGTTTCGTCTTGTTCTGATGTTTTTAGTTCATTTTTTTCTATTTCCAATTTTTTCCTCGGTACCGATTACTTCTGTCATATCTGCAAGTTGAGCTATCCCAGGTTTTCCAAACGACTACTACTATTAATATATATATATATATATATATATATATATATATATATATATAATAAAAAAGGCTTAAACACTAATATTCCATGGTCATAATTTATTCCATTGGAATCGTAAATACGATCCAATTCATCAGACCTACAAATTCAAAAGGAAAACAGAAAAAACCCACTCCGGAACTGAAAACAGAATTTAGAGAAAGTGTAAATATAAGGAGGAGGGAGATTGAACCTTAACAGAGAGAATTTTAGGAGATGTGGGGGGAAGGGTTTTAAATAAGAGAAGAGAATGAATGTCGACGGATGTCTAATGCATAAAGATACATTTCGTGGTGACATACACACACCATAGACAATTTAATGCTAGAATAAGAGGGAGGGGGAAGGGAAAGAGCAGGTGGGGGAGAGAGATGGGACAAAGGAAAGTAAAAGTGCGTTTACTTAAAGGGCCGCTTTGTAATTGAGAAAATTTGACAAAATTAATATCGACTACAGGTTACAAATCGAATATAAATATATGACGATAAATATAACGATTGTCTAATCCAGCAAGGACCTATATTTCTATGTTCAAAGACACATGTGAATACACACAATAACATATACATGTATACACATACACATAGGCGTGTACCCACACACACACACATACATACGTGTACACACATATATAAAAATATAAAAATATATTCACATATCCACACATACACATATTCATCTATATCCATATACACACACTTTTCACATACATATACACTCATACACATGCACCCATGCATATACTCATACATACATACATATACATACATATATATATATATATATATATATATATATATAAATACACATACATACACACATACATATATACATATACAATCCACTAATATTATCTATCTATCTATCTATCTATCTATCTATATAGATATAATAGCTGGCCACTCGTATTCTAGAATAGCGGTCTACTAGGTCGGCTAGCAAATCCTTATTGCAGACGCTCGCTCAGGCACATTTGTGTTTGTTCAATACCCACAGAGCCCACCTGTGGTTTCTACTGCAACTATGCTGAGCAGACCTTAGTTACAGTTTCTGGGAGAGAGCGTGTTATCTAGCGTGATTAAAAATCTGAACAACACGAGCACGCTCAAACCCTCCGTCACGATGACTTGTGACTTTGGGCTAGCACAGTTATCGACGGGCCCCAAAGGTTCCGCCTACCCAATTTCACTCACAAGTCTTGGGTGAACCCGTGGTAGGGTTTTCAGGCACTTTTCAAAGGTGCCACATGCTGGGATCGTCCTCCTCCAGACCGATAACATTATGAAGTCTCCTTCCTGACATATCGACCATGGGCGCGTAATCGAGTGGTTACAACGTTCGCTTTCTGACCATAAGACCCTGTTCGAATCTCGCCATATATATATATATATATATATATATTATGAAATGGACAAAGTCCGATAATTAGTTTAAGACATTTTTATGTTTATACATTCTTTTTATAGATACAAATATTTATTATAAACAGAGCATTTACTTAAATTTTTGTATGTCTAAAAAGAATGTATAAACATAAAAAAATATCTATATATATATATATATATATATATATATATATCGAATCATATATATATCGAATATATATATATATATATATATATATATATATATATATATATATAAATTCATGAATCATTCATACAAAAAAACAAATATAAAGGTTAATGATTTAAATGGCGAGAATACATCTTCGCAAACAATATAAATAAGATACATCAACCCCGAACCTGTATATGAATGATATGATCCCTGTTTATAAATTCCAGTTGCATAAGGTCTTTTTAATTTTTTACAAGCTTTCGTCTGTTCCTACAGACATCTTCAGGTATGGAAATAGATTTTGTTCTTGTTTTTTACTTCTCGGTAATAAGAGGAAAATAAAGATGTAATCCGAAAAAATGCTATGAGAAATCTGTTATTGTTTTGAAACGTGCGGTCGCAACGCTGAGTTTGAATTTAAATTTTAAGGTTGTGCGTTTTTGTACAAATATAGCAATAAGAATTTTTTTTACTGGTAGATTTTCCGTGAATATGGCATGAACTATATTGTTCAATAATTACAGTAATGTCACACTTATTATCCGAAAGTTGCACGTTGGATCAGTTAATTTAATTTCAATTAAAATGTGCAATTATAATTTATAAATTCATCAATCATTCATACAAAAACAAATATAAAGGTTAATGATTTAAATGGCGAGAATACATCTTCGCAAAACAATATAAATAAGATACATCAACCCCGAACCTGTATATGAATGATATGATCCCCGTTATATATATATATATATATATATATATATATATATAAAGAGCGCGCCGCCCTTTGGCCCCGCATGCGAAATGCCGACGACGACCGCCGCTCAAGACGACAGTGACGACCACGACCACGACGAGAGGACGGAATGACGCGCATCGGTCTCAGTCTAATATGTAGCGTCGCGACCCGTAACGGTCGACGCGGGTGCCCACGCGCGTGACGGCCCGCAGGCGACGACGACGCGCCGACCGATCGCGACCGATTGGAGGCACAGTGAAGTAATGGATAACGGCTTGGATTGAGGAATCGCAGAGCCGAGTTCGAATCCAGGTTGAATCCATTACATTCACTTACGTGCTAGTACCCTTGGGAAAGGTGTGAATCATCTTCTTCTCCCTCCAGCTATGGGTAAAATAGCAGGACAGACTGGGTTCTATAGCCTTGGATAGCAACTGGTCTAGGAGAAGGACATCTCTGAATTCAAAACCTGCGGAGGGTCGTTTGGGGACCTTGTGGCACGTAGTGCACCAGGTCTCTTTATTCGGCCCTTTAAAAAGTGTGGATGGTCCTGCACGAAACCTTCACCACTATAATCAAATCTCATGTGCTGTTGTCGGGCTGTCAGTTTCCGGGAGAATCGATTTTTTCATATATATATATCGAATCATCGTACGCCATATATATACATCATGTTGTTTGGAGTGGTCACTAGTGATGACGACGTTATTCCTCAACTTGTCATCCCACAGGGCCTCAGACGCCACACTGAGGCCTACATCAAGTGGCTTGAGGAGGTAGTGCTGCATTTGGTTAAAAGCATCGTTACTGGGAGGCCCTATGTCTAGCAACAGGACCCTGCATCATGTCATACAAGCAAGGGAACGCAGTCATGTTGACAGGATATATCTCCAACTCTTTCCGAATTCTTTGCACTGGCCTCAGATTGACACCCAAACATTCTGAAATGTTCGTATTGGAGCTTCCGGTGCGAATGCCAAGCAGTATAATATGCCGTTTGAAAATTTCTGGCAGAGTGAATTGCATCATGGTGCTCTTTTTCGCACAGACGGTGCCCAACTGACCCTACTATACTGGGCAGTCGACAAAATAAAAAAAAATGTTTGCGTGAAATTAAAAATATAAAATGGCGAAAATTTATCTATCGCACCTTTTATATACTAAAGTTCACTCAATACAAGGCTCAAGAGACACTTGAGGTTGCAGTTAAAACGTCAATACTGAAGATGTGTAATATGAATGAAATAGGAGGTGACAGGATTTTTTTTACTTTTATTAATTTATCCCAAACAAGACGATGATGCCACTAAAACGCAAGGGGCTACTGGAAGTGAAAGAAAATGGAAAGAATTTAGAAAGCACCGGAAACCCAATTCTAAACAGGAAATATGGGATAAACTCCTTGATTATTATAAGTGGGGCGCAGTTTGATCAGCAGTTAGTTGGAATCAAGAAACAAATTAGACACTGTTTTGGAGAAATCACCAAAGATTTATTTTCACTTACAAGATATGAAAATGTTTCTAGTAAGTCGTATAGTGTCGTATTCGAATATACGGTGTGCGAGGTGTGAAATAAGAACATGAAAAAGGAATATTCTTAAACCGGCTGGCTGTTTGTTGGCTATCGTTTTGGGCTTGTCGAGTGGATAGTGGACTCCGCTCTCTTTCTGTGTTCATAGGAGGTCGTTTTCACAGCCTAATGGTCGGACGGGCAGTCAGCTGTGCTCCAGGTAGCCACTATGGTTAGCGTGTGTGTGTGTGTGTGTGTGTGCGCGTGCGCGCGTGTGTGAAGTCTCTCTCTGTCTGCTCCCTGCACCCTGTCTTGTCCGGCTTCTCTCATAGCCTATATAAGGAAACGCACGGACGCATCTGTGGCAAGCAAGAGTCGCGTCGATAATGGCCAGCATACTGGTATATTTGTTTTTTTTTTTAAATTTGGTTTTAATTTTTCATCTCAAACTATATGTGAATTGTGTTTTTTCTGCTACAAGCTGAGCGAGAGACCACCAAAACTTCTTGTAACACCAAAGATGAACTGAAGGCAAGGATTATGGCATCATTCTCCAACTTAAACAAGGAACCGTTCAGAAGAGTTGCAGGTGTTTCCGAAGTCGTCTTGAAGCCAATAGCGATCTTATTGAATAAATATACTCTTATGTATACTATGTATTTCAAGACAGTTTTGTGTAATTTTGGTGAATATATCTGTTAAAGTGAGATGTTCGATGTTATTTTCATTTTGGCGTCATTTAGATGACAATTTATCCATCGCACCCTGTATGTCTGTTAAAATGAGATGTTCAGTGTTATTTTCATTTTCGCGTCATTTAGACGACAATTTATCCATTGCACCCTGTATGTCTGTTAAAATGAAATGTTCAGTGTTATTTTCATTTTGGCGGCATTTAGACGACAATTTATCCATTGCACCCTGTATGTCTGTTAAAATGAGATGTTCAGTGTTATTTTCATTTTGGCATCATTTAGATGACAATTTATCCATCGCACTCTGTATGTCTGTTAAAATGAATGTTCAGTGTTATTTTCATTTTGGCGTCATTTAGACGACAATTTATCCATCGTACCCAGTATGTCTGTTAAAATAAATGTTCAGTGTTATTTTCATTTTGGCGTCATTTAGACGACAATTTATCCATCGTACCCGGTATGTCTGTTAAAATGAATGTTCAGTGTTATTTTCATTTTCGCGTCATTTAGACGACAATTTATCCATCGTACCCGGTATGTCTGTTAAAATGAATGTTCAGTATTATTTTCATTTTGGCGTCATTTAGACGACAATTTATACATCGTACCCTGTATGTCCGTTAAAATGAGATGTTCAGTGTTATTTTCATTTTGGCGGCATTTAGACGACAATTTATCCATCGCACCTTGTATGCCTGTTAAAATGAGATGTTCAGTGTTATTTTCATTTTGGCGTCATTTAGAAGACAATTTATCCATCGCACCCTGTATGTCTGTTAAAATGAATGTTCAGTATTATTTTCATTTTTACGTTATTTAGGCGACAATTTATACATCGCACCCCGTTTATTTACAAAGAAGCTTTGATATTTTTTTTTTGTTTTTTCTCTTGACTATCTCCACAGGGTTTTGTACTAATTTTAGTTTCTGAATCAGTACTTTTATTTCGCACCTGTCTACACTGTTGCCGTCTCGTGACGAAGAATTAATAACTAGTTTCTAAATTAGTCATGAATTTCACTCGTTTGACTTAAGACTCGGGCCAGTCGAAAGGAAAATGACTTGTCCTTTATTGCTACCTCTTTTTGAACCTTGACCTTCACATTCCTGACCCCTTTATCCCAGTAATAATGAGATGCTTTCAACCTGAAAGAATTCGTGATGTACACGCTCTGATGAAATCAAACTAGTGTAATAACACACCCCTTAAATAAAAGGACAATTCGTTCGTGTGTGCGCCAGTATGTGCTTGCGTATGCCTGCGTTTGAGTACAATTACTTGTGAGTGTGTGTAAGTATGCGTTTGTCACTGTTTGCGTATTCATATATTGTATGCTTATTAGTAGTTCTAAGTATCTGTCTGTCAGTTTTGTTTTATTCCCTTACTAACAAATACGCTTTATTTATTAAACTGTATTTATTTATCTTCGACAGCCGTCCTGAAAAGGAGAAACCTTAGTGAAAAATATAGGCTAAAATTTGTCGGATCAAACTCGGATAACAGCCATGATTTGAATGCTGATTTTCAAGGTGGACCCTTTCCACTCTGAAAGCAGTTGTGTTTATGCTGTAATAAAACTAGCAAACATTATTAGGTCAGCTTCATGACTGTAAGTGTCGTTTATGCTGTAATAAAACTGAAAAAAATTATTAGGTCAGCTTCGTGACTGTAAGTGTCGTTTATGCTGTAATAAAACTGAAAAAAATTATTAGGTCAGCTTCGTGAATGTAAGTGTTGTTTATGCTGTAATAAGACTGACAAACATTATTAGGTCAGCTTCATGACTGTAAGTGTCGTTTATGCTGTAATAAAACTGACAAACATTATTAGTTCAGCTTCGTGACTGTAAGTGTCGTTTATACTGTAATAAGACTGACAAACATTATTAGGTCAGCTTCGTGGCTGTAAGTGTTGTTTAAGCTGTAATAATATTAACAAACATTATTAGGTCAGCTCCTTTGCTGTGAGATTTGTTTATGTTGTAATAAAACTAACAAACACTATTGCGTCAGCTGTAAGAGTTATTTATGCTGCAATAAGACTGTCAAAGATCACGTGGCTGAAAGTGTTTTATGCTCCCTACTATATAAGTATTTAAAATCTTGGGATAACCAGGTTTCGGAAGGTTATATTCATGGCTGTCCTTTTGCTACTTTTGAATTCAGAGCTGTCTTCTTTGACTGCCAACTTAAGGTAGAGAGTCCACTTTAACCCACTATTTGACCCATAGCAACGGGGAGATGAGATAAAATAATTGCAAAAGTGAATGCAACAGCTGAATTTGAACTCAGTTCACCTATCACAATTTTTGTGCCGATAACCGCTACGATATACGTAGCGGTAAAATACTAACGCAACACAATCTTCTTTACTCCTTTTTTTTAACTTTTGCTCTATTAACATAATTCAGCCGGCTTCCTAACTAACTAGGAAGAATTGTATGTCATCTGCAGATGCGTGGGTGGTGCATTGGATAACGGCTCGGAATGAGAAATCGGAGAGCCGAGTTCGAATTCTAGTCGAGTTCATTACATTCACTTTAGCGCAAATACCCTTGGGAAAGATGAATCCATCTCCCTCCAGCTATGGGTTAAATAGCAGGACAGTATTTGGAAAAATCATTATTGTTAAGGTAATATTCACTCACAAAAAAATTACTCGGCTTTAAATAATCCATGAAGGGTTGATAAGCCATAAAAAACGAATCAATCAAACAATCAATCCGCCAGTTCAATGTTCGAGATTTCATAAAAACGAAGAATTCGGAGGCAGATTTTTACGATATTTTCGAATACTGACGCAACACAATCCTCCGAAATTTTAGCTCGTCCGCATTTACAAGCTGAAGATAAGCGTCGGTGATACAAAGAGAATGAAAACGTTGTGTTACGAATTTAATGATGGCTTTGAAAAAAAAATTAGCTACTAGTCGGTATGTCATTTGGAATGAAGGTTAGTCAAGTTAAACAAGAATCAAGTCATCGTCGTCATTGGTCAATGGCTAAAATTAGCGGTCGATTGCGCACTGGGTCAATTGGATTGATTGATAGCATTACATTTGACGTTAAATAGAGTTCGTTTAACGAGGACCTGATTTATCTCGCATGAGTCAGTAAAAATGGTTGCTTTTTGCTAAAATTATAGGTTACTAGTTTTAACCCGTGAAAATTTCACAATTCTAATATTCTGATGAATCTAAATTTTTAAGTTAAGGATTGAATAAGGTCATGGCAAGTTCTACGGCAATAAAATATCCATAGAAATTTCCCTATCGCATCGTTAAATATTTGAGCTTGACAACTTTAACAAAATATTGCAATAACAATCTTAAATATGAATGCAGGTCGTTATTTTAAGAAGTAAGGGGATACAAATGAAAACATTTAAAATTGACAGCTTCTTACATTTCACTAAACCAGCCGTTAAACACTTACAATAAGACCAGTAAGAATAAAAACAAAATGACTACATATTTATTTTTAGTAACTTATTAACAGTCCCAAAAGAACATTAATCGTAATATTTTAAAACTGACAAGTGCGTTCAGCTATGCTGCCCGCAGACAAATTGGTGCGTGAGTTCGAATCTCGGCAGAACTTCTCTTTATTTTCCTACCTATACTGTCTACACATTGCCGTAGATCGACGACAAAGTAAAAGTTGTGATAACAAGATGAAAATAAATACTAACAATAGAAATGAATTAGCTTTAACCCATGAATATTTCATGGTTTTTCTATTTTAATATTCTGATGAATCTAAATTTTTAAATTAAGGATTTAGTAAGTTCATGGCGAGTTTTATGACAATCAAATATCCGTAGAAGTTAACCTATCGCATCGTTAAATATTTGAGCTTGACAACTTTAACAAAATATTGTAATAACAATCATAAATATGAAAGCTGGTCATTATTTTAAGAAGTAAGGGGGTACAAATAAAAACATTTGAAATTGACAGCATTTTCCATTTCACTGAAACAGACTTTAAACACTTCGCTTCTTTTTTCTTTTCTTTTTTCTTTCTTTCTTTCTTTCTTTCATTTTCTCACTGAAACCAAGTAGCGTCTTTTCTCTTTCCATGTGATCAAAATGGAATAGTACATTATTTATGAGGTATTGGTAGGATACATTAAACACTTCTTTCTTTCTTTCTAAAACCAAGTAGTGTTTTTCGCCTCTTCCACTATTCTATACGGAATAATACAGTTTAACCCGGATATAAGAGACCCGGATATAAGAGAAACCCGGATATAAGAGAGATTTTATCTGGTCCCAAATTAGAGCCTGAGTCAATGTATACAAAATAGACCAAACCCGGATATAAGAGAAACCCGGATATAAGAGACTTCTTCTCCGGTCCCGACAACTCTCTTATATCCGGGTTACACTGTATTTATTTAGCAGCAGATGCCAAAAACCGTGAAAGTTTGACTAGTTAAAATTAGTTACTAATAAATTTAGATCAATTTCTAGATATGCAGATGGGATTTTGCATCTGTTCAATAACTAGTCACTGGATTTTAGATCGATTTCATCACATACTGACCGGATTTTAGATCTGTTTCAAAACCTACTGACCGGATTTTGGATCGTTATCAACATTTACTGACCGGATTTTGGATCGTTATCAACATTTACTGACCGGATTTTAGATCTGTCTCAAGACCTACTGACCGGATTTTAGATCTGTCTCAAGACCTACTGACCGGATTTTAGATCTGTTTCAAGACCTACTGACCGGATTTTAGATCTGTCTCAAGACCTACTGACCGGATTTTAGATTTGTCTAAAGACCTACTGACCGGATTTTAAATCTTTTTCAGGATCTACTGACCGGATTTTAGATCTGTCTCAAGACCTACTGGCCGGATTTTAGATCTGTTTAAAGACCTACTGACCGGATTTTAAATCTGTTTCAGGACCTACTGACCGGATTTTAGATCTGTCTAAAGACCTACTGACCGGATTTTAGATTTGTCTGACCATGACCTAGATCTGTTTCATGACCGGATTTTTAGATTTGTCTAAAGACCTACTGACCGGATTTTAGATTTGTCTAAAGACCTACTGACCGGATTTTAGATCTGTTTCATGACCTACTGACCGGAATTTAGATTTCTCTAAAGACCTACTGACCGGATTTTAGATCTGTCTTAAGACCTATTGACCGGATTTTAGATCTGTTTCAATATCAACTGACCGAATTTTAGACCGATTTCTTGACCTTTTGACCGGATTTTAGATCGATTTCATTACCTACTGATCATTTTCAGATCGATATCAAGAACTTTAAGCCTAATGCATGCCACTGAGGATTTAATTACATTTTTCATCCGCATTGTTTTTTTCCGTTCCCAGGTGCTGCGACATTTCCTGGTCTGAGGAAGTTTATTGCCGAAAAGAGTATTACAAGAGTTCTGGCTTTCGTCCATATTGCTTCGCATGGGTTGGCAGCTGCAGGCTGTTCAGGATTTGGTAAGTCAATTTCTTGCGAAAAACCCAACCATTTAATAATCCTCTTAAACCCTTTACTTATACAAAACGCCATTTTCAATAGCCCACCGACCAGCAAAGATCAGTTATCTCGTCACCCAAACTATTACTGCTGTAGTGAGTTTGATTCTTATGTATTGGATTGTACCTAAGCAAATGATTTCTCCATGACTTGAAACAATGGTAAGAAGTAAGTCTCTAAAACTATTACTGCTGTAGAGAGTCCGATCCTCACTTTGTGTTTCACATTTGTGACCTTGTGCCTGACTAAACTAAATGTGATAATTAGATATTCATTGTCTAACTGTGCTCGTATACACTAGCCGGTCTCCGTAAAAAGAGCACTGATGAATATTTAGAGTGAAGGGAACCAATGACATATCTCAGCGTTGCATACACTTTCAGGTCAGACGCTATTTTGCGTGAATGTTGATGGAACAATGCACCCCCCCCTCCAGACGATCGCATTGTGAAGTGAAGATTCACTAGCTGGTACCATATTAAAATCCTAGATCAGCTTGATAAAATAGGAATCATCTCTCTCTCTCTCTCTCTCTCTCTCTATCTATATATATATATATATATATATATATATATATATATATATATATATATATACACACACATATATATATATATATATAATAACCATGTTTCAAAAATGGAAGCCAAATACTTTAAATTTAATTATATAATTAAATTAAAATATTCGCTTGAAGATGAAACGGAACTAATGCTTTTAATTTAATTATATAATTAAATTTAAAGCATTTAGCTTCCATTTTGAAACATGGTTATTAATGTAGCGAAAAAAAAACATATTTTAAACCAGTTAATTTATAATATTTATGCTCTGTAAATTTACATTGATCACTGTTTTGTAAAAATAAACAGTATCAATAAGAACACCGGATTATATATCTTACTGTTCTTTTTCTTTCTTTTTATATATATATATATATATATATATATATATATATATATATATATGTGTGTGTGTGTGTGTGTAAATTTAATTAAAATTAAAAAAATTAATTAAAACAGACAACCTTAAGGGTCCTTTGATTATATTTTATACCCCCAAAAAGGTGGTTTTCTCCTGGTTCCAGGTCAGACACCATTTTGCTTGAATGTTGCTAGAACAATGCACCCCTCTCCAGACGATAGCATTGTGATGTGAAGATTCACTAGCTGGCACCATATTAAAATCCTAGATCAGCTTGATAAAATAGGAATCATTCTCTCTCTCTCTCTCTCTCTCTCTCTCTATATATATATATATATATATATATATATATATATATATAAATTTATTAGGTTGGTGCAAAAATAATGACGTAATAATGTCGTTTTCTGACGTACTTTTCTACGTCAAAAAACGACATTCTTACGTCATTATTTTTGCACCAACGTAATAATTACAAATTTTAAAAAATTAATTTAATTAAAATTTAAAAAAAACAGACAACTTTAAGGGTCCATTGATTATATTTTATATCCCCAGAAAGCTGGTCTTCTCCTGGTTCCTTAAATCCCATTCTTTTGTACTTGGAAATGTGATCTGAAGAACGAGGAAAATAAAAAACACGTAATGCTTTACAGTCTTCTGACACGGCGATAAATGTTAAGTGTATACACGTACGTGAATTTTACACGCATTTAAAGAGGTGTTAGATTATTGCAGCCGGAAAATCGGCCGTCTTTTAGTGTAATACAGGCAATGACGTTTTAATTGCATTTTATCTTTGCAGGAAAGGGTGGAGAGTGTGATTCTCTTAACCAAGTGGACGTAGATAAATGCGTCTCTTGTGTCAAAGAGAACCGAGATATGGTAATCGGCGTTAAGGTTCGCCTGGCTGCTGATATTGCCGACAATGGACGAAATGAGGAAGAAGTCTACAGGTGAGTTATAATTAATTTTACGACGGTCATTCCAGGTGACATAAAGAAATTTTTCGATAATATTAGGTTGGTGCAAAAGTAATGACGTAATAATGTCGTTTTTTGACGTTAAAACATACGTCAAAAAACGACATTATTACGTCATTATTTTTGCACCTAATAGGATATATTGTGACTGTTCTGACTAAATCCGTTTCGACGCAAAATGAAAACTGGTAAGACTCGATAGAAAAATGAGAAGAAATCCTGGAAATGTGTCAGAGAATAAATGTCGGATAGGTTGCATATTTCCGCTATTTTCCGTTTGGTATTAGGTTGGTGCAAAAAATAATGACGTAATGATGTCGTTTTTGACGTTAAAAAATACGTCCAAAAACGACATTATTACGTCATTATTTTTGCACCAACCTAATATCACGAGCGATTCCTCCAGCGATCAGCTTTTACACATTGTCTGATTGTGTGGACTAGTAATTTCAAGAAATGTGTACAGAATAGTGGATAGCGGCTTGGATTGAGGAATCGGAGAGTTGAGTTCAAATTCCAGTAGAATCCATTACATTCACTTACTTGGAAAAGGTATGAATCCTCTTCTAAAGACCCCCCACCCCAGCTATGAGTAAATATCAAGACAATCCCAGTTCTGTAGCCTTGTATGGCAACTGGTCTATCGCAGAAAGAAATGGCAACCTACTGCAGAAAAAAAATCTGCCTCGTCAGTCATGTATCGAAAGATACATGATCGCCTAAGCGTGTATCAAGCATGTCATATAATTGACTGAAATTCACTTACATGCTAATACGCTCGGGAAGGGTATGAATCCTCTTCTTCTCCCCCAGCTATGGGTAAATAGCAGGATAAACGGGTTCTATAGCCTTGGGTGGCAACTGGTCTACCGCAGAAAGAAATGGCAACCTACTGCAGGAAAAATTCTGACTCGTCAGTCAGGTATCGAAAGGTAGATGATCGCCTTTATTAATATTTTCAAAAAAGAAACATTTTTAAAATAATTTCATTCATTTGTGAATATGCCCTGAAAGTTTCCTTAAAATCTAACAATTATTTCATTTTGGCAAGAATTTCTAAACCAATGTGATTCTCAACGCGAAAATAGACGTTAAAATTTCCTATACGAAACTTTGGTCTCCCGCTGAAGCATGAAAAAAACAAACTTTTTAACTAAAATTTCGAAAGTTTTAAAAAGGAACAAAAATATAATTTTATAATAAAAATTATAATTGATGTTTAAAATATGTTTTTATTAAGGTGGGGCATTTTTTAGCGAACCTGTGCAAATACCTAATTTTCAGTTTGGTACTGAATTCCTTGACACATGGCACAGTGGATAAAGGCATTAGTTAGATCCAGTCACAAGACCCAAAGAATGTGAGTTCAATACGCGGTTAAGGCAGTGGAGAACTTGGAGAGGGGAATTAACAGGAGATAACTGACATCCATTAAACATGGCACGTGGAACTAGAACAGTCTACCCCAGTGAGCGAAATAAAGGGTTCAGTTCGACATTCCAACCACCTGAAGAAGGCCAAAGCATACAACGGCTGAAACGTTGTTATCAATATGGCGACAAAGATGAGGACAATAGTCCGAATAATATAAATTGTTCTCGTATATGTGGTTCCTTATAATGACGAGGTCATACTGTAGTCTGCTTTGATTTGACTTAGATCTTCATGACTCAACCTAGTTATATAAACGTAGGATTATGTAATATTTTGTAACCTGTCCTTTCAAAACGAGGCTTCTTTCAATAGAATGGATGCGTATTAGGGGAGAAGACGAAAGATAATCCTCGGCGCCACTAAATCTCTTCTATCCGAGATGGAATAATCTCATCTTTTTGTGTTTGTTCCTTCTTGTTTTTTTTTTTGTTTTGTTTTTTTTTTTCGTCTCCTGATATGGAATTACGAAGGAAAAAAAAAAAACAGAAAGAAAAAAGAAAGAAAAAAATGGCATTCTCAAAGACCAAAGAACCCCAAGATCAATATGTTTTCTTCTTTCAAATGCTATTGATTTGAGTTATTTTCCCTAAAGAACGTTCCATGAATGGAACATTTTCATTAGATTGGATTCGTCCAGGAAGGCTGAAATAAGCAAAAAAACAAAAACAAAAAAAAAAAAACTATATTTTTTATTTTTGTTAAGATCGCATAAAAAAGTATATTTCATACGCAAACGTTGTTTGAAGGTCATAAAAAAGGCAAGCTGTGGCGTAGTAATCAACAGGAGCAATAAACAATGGCTTGGGTTCGATCTCTACTAGACCCTGTTAACCTTTAACATACTGGAGGCAATTTTGCTTGCAAAGCAAATATTTTATCCTGTCATTGCAAAGACACAGTGAATGACAGCGTATTTCATTTCTGCAGTTGTGTATGTTGAAAATTTAAGATTTAAGAAAGAGCAGATACTGTCACTTTAAACGTGGTTTTGTGTGCTGTATTAGCTTCAAATGAATATGCGGAATTTTTTTTTCCTTAAAATTAGCTTCAAGGCCTTTTGGTCCAGAGGGACAAAATAAAGTCGTTATGTCCAATCCAAGATGGCATAACTCTTCAGGCAGGCGGACGTTGACGTCATTAACTGGCGTCTGAGGCGTCCTCAAAGGGGGAAATACCGATAAGGGTGGACAATTTTTGAACTGAGGTCTCACGTGAGATTACCACTTTAATCTCGGCCTTGTGCCGCATTTCATTCGTGTAGACATTCAGAAAAATACCATTTTCTTTTTCACTGCAAGAAAGATTTTCGTCAAAGATTTTACTCCCGGAATTCTACAGACGGTTAACTTGTGAAGCGGTTTCAATAGCCAGAACAATGTTTCGAATGTTAAAAATCTCATCTCAAAGTCAATAGAAGAAAAGCGATAACTCGACATTCGTTGGATACTTTTTTTTTCTTTTCGCATTTTTTCGCCAAGAGACGAATCGCTAAATTGAAACCCTTCATTGTCGTGTTGTTTTATCGAACAAGCTGCTTGTTATCCAACGCGGAGACGAATCAAATTAGAATTTTCATTTTCAGACACGCACATTGATCGGTAGATTAGGTGCAGTATCTGACATTTCATATCACTGTTATCAGAGTCTTAGGTAATTCCGTCTGGCAGACACAAGAACTTAATTCAATGAAATCAACTTTGTAATTTGTTCAGACAAATCCACTAGCTACTCCCACTGATAAATGATGACGTTCTTTTTTTTTTGCATCAGGAGAAAATTCTTTCAGAATGGTTATCTATCTATCTATCTATCTATCTATCTATCTAATTGTCTGTTTGTCTGTCTTTCTAAATCTATTCATATTAATCTCGATTGTTCAAGTCTATCTATCTATCTATCTATCTATCTATCTATCTATCTAAATCTATTTATATTAATCTCCATTGTTCAAATCTATCTATCTATCTATCTATCTATCTATCTATCTATCTATCTATCTATCTATCTGTCTGTCTAAATCTGTTCATATTAATCTCCATTGTTCCAATCTATCTATCTATCTATCTATCTATCTATCTATCTATCTATCTATCTATCTATCTAAATCTATTCATATTAATCTCCATTGTTCAAATCTATCTATCTATCTATCTATCTATCTATCTATCTATCTATCTATCTCATTCTGTTCATTATCTATCTATCTATCTATCTATCTATCTATCTGTCTGTCTGTCTGTCTAGCTGTCTGTCTGCCTAAATCTATTCATATTAATCTCCCTTGTTCAAATCTATCTATCTATCTATCTATCTATCTATCTATCTATCTATCTATCTATCTATCTATGCCTGTCCTTATATAGTATGTAGTCATAGGACGCCTTCTGTGCAGGTTACTTTTGATGTGTCTGCTACATACTTCTAAAATCTATAGTCATATCTGTAGACTTTTCTAAAATATCAAGCATGAATTTCGAATAGAAATCATTTATTCTTTTATGTAGCAAATCTCTTTCTAGGACGTTGCTGATGCTTACACTCCACAATTTATTCATTTCAGTTGATTTAAATGAATTGGACCTGTAAATCTTCCTCTTCCTTCTGTCGTTCATTTCCTCAAACTTGTTAAGTAGTTTACTCACGGTTTTCCCCTGCTTCGCATCAATATGTCTCGTGACATCTCGATATCGCTTTCCTTAGAATGACTGATATTTTATTAGTTACAATTACGTACGAGATTTTTTGAAGAGATTAAAAAATATGCCCATAAAATATAAGATTTATCGATAAAAAAAAACAAATTTTCAGTACGTATTTATCAATAAAGAATAAATGTTACAATTAAGTACAAAATTTACGATGTTACACGACGGTAGGCTTATTACTCAGAAGCCGCATTATACATGAGCCATATGAAATAATTCAGGGGTTGCACTATAGGCTTATACACTAGTATATATATTATGTCATGTCTGTGTGAGGTAAGATTAAAGGAAGCAACTTACTGGTGCCGCCATTTTTATTTGATACGTAAAATTACCTGTCTATATTTCTGAGATGAGGTATTATGTACACTATTTACATTATTCGGATTATTGTCCTCATATTTGTTGCCATATTTATTACAACGTTTCGGTCCTTCAGTATCTGTCTATATTTCTGAGATGAGGTATTATGTACACTATTTACATTATTCGGATTATTGTCCTCATCTTTGTCGTCATATTTATTACAACGTTTCGGCCTTTCAGTATCTGTCTATATTTCTGAGATAAGGTATTATGTACACTATTTACATTATTCGGATTATTGTCCTCATATTTGTTGCCATATTTATTACAACGTTTTGGCACTTCAGTATCTGTCTATATTTCTGAGATGAGGTATTATGTACATTATTTACATTATTCGGACTATTGTCCTCATCTTTGTCGCCATATTTATTAAAACGTTTCGGCCCTTCAGTTCTGTCTATATTCCTGAGATGAGGTATTATGTATATTATTTACATTATTCGGATTATTGTCCTAATCTTTGTCAATATGTCATGGGAGTGCGCTATTTTCCTCTGTCCCTCTTGCTGTCGATATGTCATTCGAGTGTGCTATTTTCCTCTGCTTCACTTGCTGTCGATTTGTCATTCGAGTGTGCTATTTTTCTCTGGCCCTTTTATCTTCAATCTGTCCTTTGAGTATAAAATTTCCCAAGCCCTCTTTCCTCGTTGTGCGCCATAGAAACTTCAACTCTCCTTTTCTGATGTTATGTATTTGTCCTTTTCGTTTCTTTTTTCTCTAAAACATCGTCGTTGCTTGGTCGATATTTTATTGTAAAGATTAACGTAGAAAAACAATAAATTTAGAACATCCTTTGTTCAACGAAAACGGAATGATTACAGCGAAACTGAATCTATTACTCGTTGTTTTGCAAAATGATCAATTTGTGACCTATTTCGGAGAACAATTCGAATCTTACCGATTTGAAGATAGCAAGAGATCGATAAAGCGATATATTTTTGAAACCAAAATCAATGGCAAATCGAACATGAATGAATGACTCAGTCAATGGAGAAAAACCACAATTCCATCCACATATTTAGACGAGGTTTTCTTTTAAGTACATTCTGTTCTCTGTAACACTTCTTTCTTGTTGAACTCCCTTCTGGCTTCTTGTTTTCCAGTCGACATTGATTTTCAAAAATGGCAATCATTCGTTCTGTATTCTTGATTCTTATCCTTTTATTCTTCTCCCTTAATAACGTTCCCTCTTTCTCCTATTCACTCACGCTCCGTAACCCCTTGCTTCTTAGTGGCTTTATTGCCTGGCGTGGGGTGAAATGATTAAAGAAAAATTTAATGGGTGGGGACGTAGAGGGTGCACGCCCCCCATCCAATTTCCGAGAAAATATTTTTTGTTGCAAAGTAGATAAGTTAAGCAACAATGGGTGAAGACAGAGTTAATGCCCTTGTTCTTTTCTAAGTTCACAAAGACATTCTGTTAGACTAGGATAAAATCGGGAACCTGTATGCAAATAAAAAGCCACCAAAATTGACTTTAGTAAATCCTCTTTTATAAAGGCTATATAATTACAGTTTGAATTTACAATTTTACTTATCAAATAAATAAAAGAAAACGCAAATTTAAAATTTATATATACGGCCGTGTTCGTAGTTAATATTATTAAGTAACCCTTTGCGTCTTAGTGGCTTTATTGCCTTGCGTGGGGTGAAATGATTAAAGAAAAACAAGCTTCTGACCTTTGTCTTGGTGAATTAAGTAAATATCCCGTTCAGTACCATAGATTTGCCTGTTAGTCACCCGAACCTGTGCACCCTCCTCCCCACGAATTGATGCATAGTACATCATGAGCAGAAGTAGTGGAGCATCATCCTCTCCGACCTGGTGTCGGGAGGGTTGGGTTTTTTTTTTTTAAATAAAACTTGATAGTCACATCTTTTATTGTTATCTCTCCTTGATAATGTTTTCTTTTTATCATATTCTATCACAATCAGTAACCCCTTGCATCTTAGTGGCTTTATTGCCTTTCTTGAGGTGAACTGATTACATAAATAGTAACCTCATGATTTCCAGAGTTGCCAATTAGTCAGCGAGACAAGAATCATGAATGAATGATTTCCGTATCATTGGTAAAAAATATCCAACTGATGATATCTGCAAGTCTCCACACATGGATGTGGGTGGGGGGATAAAAAAAAAATGAAAGAAAGAGGGAAGAAAATAAGAAAGGAAGAATGAATGAATGAATTAAAACAAGAAAGAAATATAGATAGAAAGAAAGAAAATGATGAAAGGAAGCCCGTATGTGTGGGATAAAAGAAAGAAAGAAAGAAAGAAAGAAAGAAAGAAAGAACAAAAGAAAGAAAGAAAGAAAGAAAGAAAGAAAGAAAGAAAGACAAAACGAAAAAATAAATTAAAAAAAGAAAGAAAGACAGATAAAAAGAAAGAAAAAGATGAAAGGATGCATGGAAGGGGAGGCGCAAAAGAAAGAAAGAAAGAATAAAGAAAAGAAAGATGGAAGGAAATAAAAGAAAGAAAAAAAGAAAGAAGGAATGAATGAATGAAAATAAGAAAGAGAGAGAGATAGGAAGTTGATTCTGACGGAGTGAATTGCGTCATGTTTACGTTTTTCTCATACACAGTTCGCCTGCTATACTGTGTAATCGATAAAATAATAAACAAAAAACACGCATGCGCGAAATTACAAATATAATTTCGCGACAACTTACCCATCGCACCCCCTATACATTATATATATATATATATGTGTGTGTGTGTGTGTCAGCAATTTCCCTCAAAGTGCTCACACAGCTAATTACTGTTCGCTACATTAACCACAACAGTAGATCAGTCGAAAATCTTCCTTTCAAAATAACAGGCGATGCAGGAGAGCACAGGGATAAATGAGGTCATGCCTTCCCTAGCAGCATCAGTGTCAAGGAAACATAGGCAGCCGACATACAAAAACTCATTTTCTCTGATGCAGTTTTTGAAATGGAAACAGTTGGGCGCCATTTGTCTGTCAGTGTGTGGTTTTCTAAGCATGGCTTAGAGGTTGGCACAACGTCGAAAGTATGATGCATCCACTGAGGGTTCAACTCACTATTCAGCTTTCATTGATCTAGCGAGACAATTATCTGTATTTCTGGAGGTAAGCGGTGCAAATTGGTAAGAGAGAGGGCGCGGCATCTCGGGAAAACTCTCTTTGATCGTTCTAATGTGAAAATAACTCCTAAATTGGTTGCTGAGCGCCTCAGGCACAACACAGAGGCCTATATCAAGTGACTTGAAGAGGCAGAGCTGCCCTGGGTCAAGAGGGTGGCTGATGGAAGACCTTTATATCTGGCAACGGGACTATGACACATGAGCCGGAGAAACCAGTTATGGCTATCAGACAATTTCAGCGATCACATCACCCCTTACACTTGGCCACCAAACTCACCAGTCAGCAAGGGGGTTCTTCATTATTGGAGTCTAGTTGACCGAGAGACCAACAAAACTCCTTGTAACACCAAATATGAACTGAAGGCAAAGATTATGGCAGCATTCACCAACTTAAACAAGGAGACCGCCCAGATGAGTTGCAGGAGATTCCGAAGTCGTCTGGAGGCTGTTGTTGAAGCCAATAGCGATTTTATTGAATAAATTTACTCATCGATATATCAAGATATTTTGGTGTAATTTTGGTAAATATTATCTGTTAAATTGAAATGCCAATGTTATTTTCGTTTTTGCGTAATTTTATGACAATTTAATCATCGTACACTGTATGTGTGTGTGTGTATTTGTGCATATATATAATATGTGTGTGAGCGTGCGCGCGCCTATGAGCGCATGTGTGGTTACCTGTTCATTCCATATATATATATATATATATATATATATATATATATATATATATATATAT